TATCAGAATGAAAGCTAGTGATGCGGATATTTGTATACAAATACCCCATCTCTAATGAAAGCCCATCAAAATATGAGGTAAAATGGAAGAACTGGTGCATCCATTACCACACCTGTATTGGTTGTCTATCCCTGGGATTCAGAGGTTCATGGTGGAGATTGGGTTTTTTTTAGCCTATTATAAACCAACACATGCACTTCATGCTCCCCTAGTGTGTAAATTGTTGATCATTCAGTTTACTGCCTGATTTTACAGTTCTCAACTTTTGTTATTAACTGCTCTGAAGACATTGTAAATTGGGTGGTATACAAATGAAAAGAATACTTTGAATACAGGTTGTTTACAGAACATTGCTCCTTATATTAGGGGTATTCACAAATAGTTGGTAAAAGACTAATCAAGTGTTCACATTTCAAAAGCATATTTCACACCTAAATACTTTATAATTTCATCATCCTCAAACCAATCCTTTAAGGCAAGTTCTTGCTCCTTCTTAAGAGATCATCAACTGTGATTTCGTAAGTGAGCTGAAATCTAACCTCAGCCCCCCTCTTCCGAACACTATGAAGATCACTATGAAAATCCATCCCTAGATATTAGTACCTATATCCACTCTGATCTAGTTGAGTGAGAAAAGTTTGGTTGCACTTGATCTAGCCATGGTGTGAGTGAGATATCACACCCCTACTATTGATACTACAACCAGCTGCAGAATGAAAAACTATGCTAGATCTCTTCCTTAGACTACGTCTATAAATTTTTTTTGTTAGTACAACAAAATTTGTGCTAGTGCAATAATGACAATTCAGATATGAGCTACCATCTTTGTGTATATTTAATGTTGTATTGTTGTATTGGAAAGAGCAAACATACCTTTAATGAGAAGTTGCCACTAGTTTTTAAAAAGTCATTGTGTGCATTGTGGTAAAAGTTCAATATTATAGCGATAAAAGGCTTTATTTCTTTTTTAAAATAAACAAGATATTAATTGCATCAGGCAATATCCAATATTGGACTCTACTGGTGGACCAGCAGAACCAAGAGGAAACGGAAAGTACAGTTTTTCTCCTACTAGCCTCTGTGTGCCCCTCAAAACTGTTCTGGGAAGCTGAGTCTTTAGGCAGTGGGGGAGCCTGGAGGGAGGGAAAGGGGAGTCTCATTGGTACAGGCCCTCAGATGTATTTTGTTCTTAACACTTGTTTCTTAATGACTGTTTGGTAAGTCTTCATTTTGAGGAAGAGAAGCTCAGCTATGAGTACAATGAAATACTTTAGAAATTAGAGTATTATTTTGTATATCCAATAACAAAATACTTCAACTAATCCTTCTAACCTCCTATCCTGCTCAGTTTATCAGCTTCATGAGACATATTGTAATAGTGCTCCATTCTACCAACATTTTTGCAGCTTCCCGTCAACATCTCTGAAAAAGTTTTTATTTGCGCTCATTCTAAAATTTATCAGTCTATATTCTTCTCATACATGCATTTCTCTAGTTTTCTCTTCTTCCATGTTAAGTTACAGCAACTATATTTTCTATCTTTTACACATCTGGCATATAATGAAACATCACCAAGAGGTAACCTCTAACACTAAGAAGGAACAGCAGCCTCTAGTGGCCACTAAAAAGAGCTGGCTGGGTGATCAATTCTCCAGTCCAATTCATGGCAATTCTAAAGAGAGGGAAAACATACATAAATACCCAAACCTAAAGTATAACTTTAAATAAAAGAATGGAAAATGTACAGCAATACAAACATTTCTATCAAGCACCTTTAATTTGAAAGTAGTTTGTTTTTGTTTTTATAACTTGCACGCTACTTGTCATCTACATGGATCACAGTGCAAAAAGTACGAAATAGGAAATATAAAACTAAATATTTAGTGGCAGAAACACTTTGGAAGCAGCAAAAATTGCCACAATTGATTGATGGTTCAAAACTGAAAAACTGAAATTATTTGGCATATGGGAATGTTTCGATTTGAAGCTGAAAAGAAATTACTGTATAGTCAGTGCCAATCATACCATCTTTGTCAGGGCAAATTAACCTTAATTCGTCCTTATTGGAATTTGCTATTATTCTCAATTTTTGGTTTCATACAGTATTCCGTGCCTCATCTAAAGATGCCTGGCAAATCAGTAGCGCCAAACAACAAGAACGAAACTTGAACAGAGGTCCCAGGTAGAATCCTATTAGCTTGCATTATAGTAGATCCTCAAGCCTATGCCTCTTTAATGCATGCAATAACTACAGGTGGGCATCCATTTTGGTGAAATGTTTCCCATTTCTTTCCTGTATTATTCCTCCATCTGCTCCCTTGCACTCTTCCCTCCTCTTAACTTCTTCTCAAACATAAGCTGTGATCTAACAAGCTATAGAAGCATATGCTGTGGACCGCTTAACACAAGGGAAAAACTTCACTGCACAGAAGGACGGCAATGTCTAAATATAAGATTCAACCTGTTCATTAAAAAGTGTGATTGCTAAAAATGCTGCAATGTCCAGGGGAACATTCTCCCCAGTAAAGTAGTTAACTTTGTTAGAAATAGTTAACACACATTATAGATATAATGGGTAAAAATCCTGTTTCATTTTTTGTTTAATATGCAAGGTTCTGATTTTTCCAGTATTTGCCACACTTTTTGCTTTACATTTTACACTGGCAAGATCTTTTCCTTTGGCAGCTATAATATTTGTATGGTTTTGATTTTTCCCTCGGCAGTTTATTACTTCAAGTATCTTTGAAATTCTTTTTCAAAAAGTACACGGTACAGCTCCACAATGCACTGTCCAAGTGCCTCCTATTAGATGCTCTTCTGTACCAACGTTATCACAATATAAAGAGCAAGATACATATGCACACACATCGAAGAACTTGCAAGCTGGACAGAAAAAGATAGAAAAATGGCAAATAATTCATACAATGAGAACATCCTGTTAATGTCAAGGTAAAGATCTCAAGAAATGTTGTTTTGAAAACTTTATTGACAGGGGAAACCACTTCAAATTTCAGCAAAGGACACAAGATGTGCCCCTTTCCAAAGGCAGAGTATGTGATGTTCTTGTGCACAGCACACTAGATCTTGCGCCAGGGCAATTAATACATATACCAATTGCAGGATACCTGATTTCCTCATAAGTAGCTCACCTGGGGCAACCCAGACAGCTACCTTCTCTGTACACAGACCCCCTTTACCAGACCACAGCACATCTGTTTTTACACACACTTTTCCTCAATGGGCTTCAATGAGCAAAGAAAGTCTATACTGAATAAAATATTTCACTATTATATATACAGAAGTAAAACTCTGTGCAAACATCCCCAAAACAAACACATCACTTGGAATTTAATCCAAACAGTTCTCATTCTGTAAATGTTTAGTTGGTAGATAATCAAGATGTAACTATGATCTAGGTAAGTGTTTTATGGTGACTTTAAAAAATCCATAGGTTACAATAAATATATTTAATTTATGTTGCAAATATTTAGGGTTCTGCCCATTTGTTACAGCATTACCAGTCTATCTTACAGTGTACATAATCTCTCATGCAGACAGACAGATTGATACTGTAAATTCAATTTACCAGTCCTCCCTGGAATGGACTCACTGAAATGAATGTATGGGACTTGTCACTCACGACTGACTCAAGTACTGTACCACTGAATTCAATGGTAGTAGTTTTAGAAGGGGTAGTGACATCAGTCTGTGCTAGCAATCACACAAAAACAAAAAATAACGAAGACAAAAACATTGTGGCACCTTAAATTGCTATATTTTAATGTGAGGAAGAGAACTTGCCCATAAAATATCACATTAAAGCATAGCAGTCACTCTTTAAGATGGCATAACATTTTTTTTTAATCTTCTATTTTTATTTTGTTTTTGAGAACTATCAATTCAATGGGTCTATGGTTGGTAGGAAATGCTTCACAGCCGAAGAATCTACTTTATTGCCCTCACCCTCCATTAATTTTATCAAAGAGATTGGCACAGAATATGGATACGTCACTGAGTGAGGTATGCTACACAATTCAGATATTATTAATGTTTCCTACAACATGATTAATATAATAATGTCACTGAGAATTATCTTAGTGACATAACTTTTTTTCTCCACATCATATGAGTTGGAGATTGACTGCATTCCTATTTTGCTTTCAAAAATCCTTGTTATCAAGTTCCACAGCTTCCTAATCTCCTGGATCTATATAACCCTCACAATGGCTTACCAAATTCTAGAAAGAAGTGACCAATAAAAAATAAGCCAAAGCTGAATTTAAAAAACTTCAAAAAAAAAAAAAAACAACGGCTTACCAAATTCTAGAAGGAAGTGCCCAATAAAAAATAAACCAAAGCTGAATTTTAAAAACTTCAAAAACAAACAAACAAAAAAACAACCCCATACACGTGTCTATTTCCAGTTTTACCAACGGCTTTCCTCTGTTAGAAATCTACAATAAACCTTATTGGCTTTGATGTGCCATCACACCACATGCCTTTTAGTAGTCCAAAACTAGATTTAGCCCACCCACCAAGCAGAGGGTCAGGTCCCCAGCTGTGGGAAACACAGAGGTATGACCACATGAAGGAATATGGAGAGATGGTCAGTAGCGTCACTACGGAAAACAGATAAAACAATAAGTGATATTTGAACTGCTGGTTGAAAGGTAGTGGCTGCGGTAATCATTATTTCCCTTGTTTGTTCAGGACCTTCCAACAAAACAAACACCCTTTTTGTGATTGCCTTGACATGGTGTTAACAATTCATTTAATGCCCAAATCAGAATGAATATAGGTAAAGCTCTCACTAATATTAATACTGGTACCAGGATGTTCGAGCCACCCATTTTCTAAGTGACTTTAAACAGCCTTACAGAAAAAAGTTAAACCAGCCCTCCTTTAGCAAACATAACTTGTGTTCATGAGGCCAAATCATATAGCTATGGGGTGGATTGTATGAGCCATATGGCCATCTGCTGAGTGTTGCTCTACTGTACCTGCACCCTTCTCTGCAATCGACGCTTCTGTCACTCTCTCATGCAGTTCTAAGTCCAGCTTTATTGTTTTCAGCTCCTTGTCCTTTTCAGACAGCTTATCCTGAAGCTGAATGGAACAAATAGACTGTGTGTTATCTTTCAATCTATCTAGCACAATATACTAAACACTACCAAAATATGTTTCGATTCTTAAAGAATGATGCATAAAGATAATATAAAGATTTCTTTTATCTACCAACTAAAAAGAAAAAGAGTTTTCTTCTACTTTCCCAGAGCTTGAACATTTGCTTCAGAACTCAAGTAGCTCTCTATTCCTGCTTCATTTCATGCACCCTGAAATTGCCATTTGATGAGGTACAGTGTCCTCCAAGATATGTTGGACTACAAGTCTCATCATCCAAGTCAGAAAAGTCATTGGCTAGGTCAGCTGAGGATAATGGAAGTTGTAGCACAATGTATCTGGAGAGAATGGTTTTAGAGAAGGCTGGCATTTGGTAACATAGACACAAAGGAAAGTAACACACAGTGTGTCATCAGATGCAGAGTTCCCTTAAGAGGTAAAAAAAACCCTATTTATCCTAGCACAAGCTTGTCTTGATCTGCATTTTGCAAATTAACTTGCTTTTGCTTTGTGATGCATCATCACAAGGGACTTGTGGTTGTTTATTCATTAAGTCGTGTCTGACTCTTCGTGACTCTATGGACCAGAGCACGCCAGGCCCTCCTATCTTCCACTGCCTCCCAGAGTTGGGTCAAATTCAAGTTGGTAGCTTTGATGACACTGTCCAACCATCTCATCCTCTGTCGTCCCCTTCTCCTCTTGCCTTCACACTTCCCCAACATCAGTGTCTCCTCCAGGGAGTCTTCTCTTCTCATCAGATGGCCAAAGTATTGGAGCCTCAGCTTCAAGATCTGTCCTTCTAGTCAGCACTCAGGGTTGATTTCCTTTAGAATGGATAGGTTTGTTCTC